GATGGATCAGCCAGGTGACATCATTGATGGCGTCAAGTGTGGCGGCGGTAGTGAGGTTGGCCCAGGATCGGACATTGTTTCGTTCTGCTGTGCATGGTGTCGCTATGAGTCGGTTCCGACTCGATGGCACCTGACAACAACAACAACATGAGGCAACTGAAAATACCACCTGAGTCCTCAAAGTGACATTTTTGTTCTTTTAACACTTTAGAGGTCTTTTGCAGCAGATTTGTCTAATGCAACACATCATTTGATTTCTTGACTGCTGCTTCCATTAGTGTTAATTCTTGATTCAAGCAAATGAAATTTTGACAACATCAGTCCTTTCTCTGTTTATCATGATGTTCCGTATTGGTCCAGTTGTGATGATTTTTGTTTTCTTTATATTGAGGTGCAACCCATCCTGGAGGCAGTAGTCTTTAATCTTCATTAGTAAGTATTTTAAGCCTTTCTCTCTTTCAGCAAGTGAGGTTGTATCATCTGCATATCACCGGTTGTTAATGAGTCTTCCTTCAGTCCTGATGCCATGTTCTTCTTCATATGAGGTAGGTACTATTATCATCTCCATTCTAGAGCTGTGGAGACTGAGACACATAGAGGGTAAGTAGCTTGCCCATGGGTACACAGTAAAAGGAGGATCCAGAGCCTCTGCTATCTTCCTTTCAAGAAATGATGGTAGCTGGAACTGAGCATGGAGAGAAATAGTGATTTAGAAGGAGACTGTACCACAGACATGGGAGATTAGTACCCCAGGTCGTCTTTATGAGGAACACATCAGTAATAATAAGAACTAACATCTATTAAAATGCTGCTGATGTGAAATGAATCCTTGTTTAATTTAATTAGCACTTATTGAACACTTTCCAATTGCAAAGTTCTGTGCTAGATTTTTGTAACTACGTAATAATATAATTCCACTATTGAATCTTCTCACTCAGTCCAATTCTTTATATTTTCTTCAAACTCTGTCTTTATGTAAAGGGCATAACGAAAACTTGCCTATTGCCCTTTACATAGAGAATGAATGACAGAAATCAGGTTTTAATTCAAGTACGGAACAAAATCTTCAACTCACCATGGACTCTGGGTTCAGATGCATGCTTGTTCCTTCAGCTTGTGTGAGCTGTGTGCTACGTTACCTCCCTGTTCTGTGCCTCATCAATAGAAGGAGATGATGACACCAACCTCCCTGAGCTGCTCAAGCTGCTGACTACTTGAGGTGGTATTTGGACAGTGCAGCATAGGCCCTGGGCAGAGGAGGTTTGCTACAGCAGCACCAACACCCTCTGGCTCTCTGGTTGCCACCCCAGCCTTCATCCTCAGCTAGTGAGTCACTGATTTGTACAGTTGCTCAACTGGAGACAGTGAAATATGAAACATTGGAAGATTGGTAAGAGATGGAGAATTGTTAGTACATATAAGCCACTGCCATCGAGTCGATTCTGAGACTGTATATGTCTTTATGGGGGCAGACAGCCTCATCTTCTCTAGCAGAGCTGCTGCTGGTTTTGAATCCTTGACCTTTCAGTTAGCCGTCCAATGCTTATCTTCAGCACCATCAGTGCAAATAAAGGAAACATCTATTTCCTCAGGCAATGCTTTTATGTATCACTCAAAAACTCATTTTAAAATTCAAAAGATCATTTTTAGGACTTGGATTTCCCTTGTACCACTGGATGTCACTGTTGAACAACCTCACACTTATATAAAACATTGGTTGTAAAAATATGACTGAGAAGCAAATCAGCTATTCAGCAATGATGGCTAGAGATATTATTATATCATATTTCAAATTTATGATATCATTTTCAAAATTCCCTCCAACCAAAATGACTCTTTGTTAAATGTATTCTATTCCCCAGTCATGTCTGAAAACCCACCAGAGAAGATTGTGTGTTAGACATTATTAACCTCTTTTGGTGAAATTAATATAATTATTATATATCCATGTTTCAAAATCGCCCAACCTACAATATATCTCAGTAATCATTTCCATGATTAGTAAATATATTGTCAATTATAAGACGTCATCATTTATCCCAGAGAGAATTAAATATACATTCAAGCATACAATGTAAATTAATTGAAAATTATATTACATTGGAAAAAATATAACCAAAAGAAGCCATGTGACAGAACATCTGATACGTTTGTGGTCATTCCAAAGTACACATTTAGGCAAACTGGTCCCAGTGTTTGTGGGACATCTACAGGGATACCTGGAACAAGCTTAAAAAATCACCAAGAGGCCTGAGTCTGCATGAGATTTGAGAGTTTCTAAATGTAAAAGAAAATTTAGTGGGTTTAAAACCAGTTGCAGACTTGACTCCAATTCATGGTGATCCCATGTGTGTCAGAGTAGAACTGTGCTCCATAGACTTTTCACCAATTCATGGTGATCCCATGTGTGTCAGAGCAGAACTGTGCTCCATAGACTTTTCAATGGCTAATTTTTCAGAAGATTGCCAGGTCTTTCTTCCAAGCTGCCTTCAGGTAGACTCCAACATCCAGCCTCTAGGCTAACAGTAGGTGCATTAACCAGTCACACCACCCACGGACTCTTAGTAGGTTTACAAGGTACCAAATCACAAACATTAGCCTCTACCAAATCCTCCTTCATTTGCATTCTACTTACTTTTTGTAACACAAGGGGGACTTTCACTCCAGAGTCTTTTTTTCGATCATTGTCCAAAAGGACTGTGAGTGGAACTCCAAAAATGCCACTGTCTGTATTAATTAAAGGAAAAAGAAGAGAATCAGAAAAGCCCTCCCTCCCTTACCTTCTTCCAATTTAAGTGTTCAAACCAGATAAAATCAGTGTTCTTACTTACCTCGACCTTTTACTTTTTCTGTTTTATTTCTTTTCAGTGGAATTCCAAAGGCATCAAAAAAGGCAGTCAATTCGATCAAAGAGAGATGGCGGATTTTCTTCATGTCTTCAACAGACAGATCTCCCGCTTCCGTTAAGCCAAATCTGGTTTTCTTAACAATCAATTTCTAAAATACATATTGTAGTTATTTATCTACTTTTCATGGCAATGGAAAATCATTATACTTTCTTTCAAATGCCACTCAGGACACCTTAAAGCTACATGGCAAAACATAAACAATTTCTACAACTTCTCTGTAGTTTCTAAACCATATAAAAACATTATTAGCATAATTTTTAAAATGTGTAAATCACTACAATGAAAAAAGTAATCAAAGATCTACTATACCATATGTAACACTGCCTGTCACACCTATGAAAACTGCCTTCTTATCATGCATATCTGTATTCTGTTGTAGAGCAGAATGTATACAGAATGCCTGGCCCCACTGGAATGTACCATGGACCCTGGCCATCTGGATTCTCTGTTGCACACAAGTACAAAGCAACACCACTCAGTTCTTGATATCAGTAGAGCTTTAGAGATGCTTTTTGGGAGGATGAGGAGATGAAGGGCAGTCATTCCTTTTATCAGACATCAGATATCTTCTGTGAACTGCAGAATTTAAAAAACTCTTGGTAATCTTCCAACTGAAATTGCAAACATATGCTTGCTGAGACAGCCATTATTCCACCTTGAAAAAATCAAACTTAGATGGTTCCAAGTATTCCTCCAAAAGCAAAACACACTGAAAATTCCAAGTAACCCTACCAACATTTTGAGGACAACGGTTCTATTATGTTCTCCATTTCCACACTGGGAGCAAATACTCTAATACCATCACTACTACAAGAAGAAACCTTCAATAACCTAAAAACATTGAGGTGAGTCTAAGCACCAAGACCTTCTAAAAGGAAGAGAGTGCTTCTATGTAACATCTACTGGTATGTTTGTTCTCAGAAACTTAAGAAAATGCTAACGTGGAAGTCAAATTGCAAAGTTTTAAAAATAAATATTCGCCATGTTGTTGTTAAGTGCTGTCGAGTCAGTTCTGACTCATAGTGACCCTGTATAAGGTTTCTAAGGAGCTGGCTGGTGGGTTTGAACTGCTGACCTTGTGGTTCGCAGTCCATTGCTGATCTTACAGCACCACACCAGGAGTCTGAAATATTCTCCATAGGGTTTCCCAAAATTAGAGTTTCCATGGGCGTGTTAGCCATTCATTTACACATATTCTTTGGTTCAATTATTCCTTGGAACCCTATAAGTGAAACTGCAAAACGCGGTTTAGCATATCTTGATCTGTTAAATGCTGAGTTATTTTACTTTATTTCTGAAGCCAAAGTCACATAATAATACTAACAATAATATAAAGAAGAACCACAATCATTTAATGAACATTATTATGTGCTGAACCCCCATGGAAAGTTTTGTGTTTGAGGTTTACCAGGATCAAGCCCAACATAAGGAAGGGAGAATTTTGATGTGGAGGCCTGTGGTTCTGAGACCACTCTTGGAGATCCTTCTCTACAGATTCAGAGACCCTTCCCTGGATCCAGACTTCCGCTGGTTCCTTCTTCTGTTCTGGAATGCTGCTCTGACCTCCAACAGAAGCACTTGGCTTAGGAACCAGAAGAGTTTGAGACTTTGACATGCTTAGGCTTAAATCCTGCTTCTGCCACAGTTTGGACACATTCCACATTCTCCCTGGGCTTCAGTCTCAGCGGCTATACAATGGGAGTAATCCCTACAGTCCACTTTACAGCTAAAACACCTAGTGCAGTCAGCAGGGAGGTGGCACTCAGTGAGTCTCCAAGGTCTGGAATTGTCCTCTTCCCCTCACCTTTGTGGTGTGGCTGTCTGGGTATGGTTTAGGCTGCCTGGTGCTGACTCATTCCTGTAGCTCTGATACTGCCTGGGTCCTGCTCATCAACACAGAGTATTCAGGCCTCCACATTACAAGCAATTTGAAGACACACTGATTGAGGAACAAATAGATCCATGTAACATGAGTCTTATATTGGACTTTCAGGATAATAAATGGTTGTTGTCCCTCTAGTAATACTATTACAAGGCCTTGAATGTGTTTTTGATGACTCTAGTGCCTGCCCTCTGAGCTCTCATTCCTTGTTGCTATGACTGTGAGTTTATGCAGTACCTTCGCTAATGGATGGACTTCTTAGGCACAGTTAAGTATACAGTTAAGGTCTATCTTGACCTATAAATGAAATAACAATATAAAGTCCATAAAAAGCACACAAGCAGGAAGTACTCATCATACTCTCACATCTCTGCCTCACCCAAACAGGCTGTGTCCTACACAACAAATGGTGTCATGCAGCACTAAATCTCCATTCCACAAAATCCCTTTGTCCACACACATAGAAATTCAATTTACACACACAAAAAAAGACCACAGTTTTGTCCTGTGGAGAATCATGAAAGGTTTTACTTACAGTTAAAGCAAAGTCTTCTTTCTTCATCACTGACTTCTTTAATTTATTTCTTTTTGGAGCCTCTGTAATCATTTCCGAGTAAGATATTTCAAATGACAGCTCTTCACCCTCTGGTGGAATATCCTTTTCCAGATAATGATCAACTAAAATAATAAAGAATGTACAGTGTTCAATGCGACATCTAATCAGTCAACATCATTTATGGGAACATAAGTAAACCACTTCTACAAGTGAATCTGTAAGTACTTGAGGACATTTGCATACAAGAAAAGCATCAGACTTCCCCAGAGGGTGTCAGCTGGACAATAACATAATGGGATCAAACCTCCATGTAAATGGATTCTGCCACCACCATCTAAACATGCTTTCTGCATAACTCAGTTTTTATTTTAGATTTTTATGTCTCATGAAAGTCATTAAGGATCACTAAAGGTAATTTTAAAAATGAGGCACGTTTATGTATTCTTCTGGTATTAAAGTCTTAACTAGGCACAAATGATTGCTAATGGAGAACCAGAAACTTGAGGGGCAGAAGAAAAACTGCAAGTACCCACTGGAATCCCTCCCTATTTTCATTCCTCTTGTCTTCTTTCCAGACTTGGAGTATGTGTCTCATAAGATTTGTTCAAACTGAATTTGCTAGGTTTGCTCAGAATTAATCTGAATTCTCTAATAATGTTGTTGTTAAGTGCAATTGAATCGGTTCTGATTCATTGCTGCTCTGTACAGGGTTTCCAAGGAGTGGCTGGTGAGTTTGAACTGCCGACCTGTGGTTCTCAGTCCAATGCTGATTCTACAGCACCACAATAGGAGTCCATAATAATATTAGTTAGCTGATATTGGTTAGATCAGGAGCTCTGGTAGCGTAGTGGTTACGAATCAGGCTGTGAACCACAAAGTCAGCAGTTCAAAACGACCAGCTGTTCCGCGGGAGAAACATGAGGCTTTCTGCTCCCGTAAAGATTTACAGCCTCGGAAACCCTGTACAGGGTTGCTATGAGTCGGAACTGACTCCATGGCACGTAATAACAAAAAATGGTTAGGTAGCCCTGGTGGAGCAGTGGTTAAACATTTGGCTGCCAACTAAAAAGTTGACTCTGTAAATATTTACAGCCTTAGAAACTCCAAGGCCAGTACTACTATGTCAGTACCAACTCAACAATACTAGCTTCCTGACTTTGCACAATATACAATAAGAAAGAACTGAATGATACCTACAAATCTTTACTTCAAAGTAGTTTGAAAATTAACAAAAAAGGTTCTTTTATCCAAAAAATAAAACCAGAATTCATTTGAGCAATATTAAACTCTGATTTGTGATGTGTCGTTTGGCTACTCATCTTGTTTCATTGCCAGCAAAATTGTTCATATGCAATATAAAAAGTGATTTGATGAAAAAAAGTCATTGTCTTTTCCCCTCTTCTGGAAACACTGACTAAAAGACTGTCAAATAGGACAAAAATAGAAAAAAGGCAGACATAATAAAAGACTCAATTAATCTTACATTAAAAGCTGGTTAAAGAAATAAAAAAATCATCAACGTATTTTAACACTCTAAACAGTAATTCCCTTGAAAAAACATAGTAAATGGGAATATCAAGAACCTATAAAATGACAAAGGGAGAATTAATATTTTCACTCTTTACACAGAAGCTTTTATATAAAACAGAGGAAGATAAACTAGTAAATGATGCTCTAAGTTCTTAAGAATTTAAGGGCGGATTCTTAATGTAAGAGCATCAGTTGAACAGCCTGGTGCTCTAGACCACTGGTCCTGCCCGGGTACATGCCTACCTCTGAGCAGCGTGATTTGAACTAAGTGGCAGCACGCGGACAAACATGGACTATACTGAGGAATAATTCCTGACAAATCTCAATCTCTCTCTCTTTTTTTTTTTGTAGCAACTTTATTCAAATATAAAAACACACTATACAAATAAATCATCCAAAGAAAGTAAACAATTCATCCGTGTTTAGTATATTCACAGAGCTGTGCAACTAGTACCATAATGATTTTAGACATTTTCATCACCCCAAATTGTTTCATTTTTGAAGCTAGCACTGAAATACAGGCTTTGTTGTTGAAGGAGGCACACTTATTTGGGGAGAGCTTCTAGATATTATAAAAGTATTTCTGGAAGGGGTCCGCTTTCCATAAAGAACTAAATTCCATGCTGAACCTATCTAGAGAGTCCATCTAGGACCACCTCTCCAGTGAACAAGACACTGTAAATAAACTCACCCTATAAACTGCTCTGGGGCTGGATATATGAGTTTAGGGAATAATTAAGGATTCTTGGAATTGGCCTACTTTAAACTTTTCAACAGATTCAGATTACTTGTGAAAGAGGCCTCAAATTGGAGACACCACCCAAGTGAGTAGTTTCTAAGTGATGCAGTGGGAGTGATGGAGGAAAAAATTCTGCTTCCTATTTTGCTCAATTAATTTTGTCTGGGTGTGACAGAAGTGAGTGGGAGGAGGTAGTGTTGGCAGTAATAGACTCACTTTTAGAAATTCACTGCTAATTGTATTGTGTGACAGAACAAAATAAAGAAGACACAGCTTAAGTTCAATCGGAGATAGTCTCACTCACCACTCACTGCATTTTGAACTGACTTCTCTCCAGGGTCTGATGATCCATTGGCATGAACTGGTATATCTGGAATTGTCTCAAATATAGACTGTAAAACAAGAAATGATGAAACCCCCAAATTACTACAAATACAGTGAACACATCATTTCAATCAAATCATTTAATTTATTTTCTGTAGTATAATGAGTCCTTAAAAAAAAAAAAATCAGTTCTTGGTTTCATGAAGGGCCTTTGTTTTTACATTCAGGCCTATACAGCTCATACATGTTGCTCAAAAGAGAGCTATGTCAAGGTCAAAATAACAGTTTTCTTGGTTTTAAAATATTTGCTACTTATATCTTCATGAGATGTGACAATGCTTGATGTCATACAAGTTGATAATTATAATTTCATTTGTTATTCTGCATGTGGTTTGTCACAACTTTGGTCTTAACTCTAAGATGAGTCCTAGAGTTAGAATACTTTAATTCTAATCCTGGTTTTAGTCTCCTCATCTATAAAATGGGGATGGTAAATACGACATTATTTCAAAGAGCTTTATGAAGATTAACTGACTATTCTAGATAAAGCATATCGAACAATATTTGGCACACAGTATATACTACTTGACGATTGTTGCTGTTGTTATTAAGTGCCATGGAGTTGGTTCTGACACATAGTAAACCTGTATAGGGATTCTAAGGAGCTGCTGGCGAGTTTGAACTACTGACCTTGTAGTTTAAACCGACCTTGAGGTCAAGTGCTCATCCTAGGGCACCACGCCATTAGCTACAATTAATATTATGTTATTGTTAAGTGCCATTGAGTTGCTTCTGACTCATAGCAACTCTGTATCAGGTTTCCGAGGAGTGGCTGGCGAGTTTGAATGCCAACCTTGCGGTTCAGACCAGCCACTACTTTGTTAAATAAGGAGCTCTGATAGCGTAGTGGTTATGAGTCAGGCTGCTAACCTCAAGGTCAGCAGTTTGAAACTACCAATTGTTCTGCAAGAGAAAGATGAGACTTTCTGCTCCTGTAAAGATTCATAAATCCTATACAGAGTTAAGAGTTGCAACTGACTCAATGGAACATAACTACCACCACCATATTATATATAGCTGTCTCATTACAAAATACAGATAATCATAATTATCAAGAAATTGAGAATCTTTTCTAGCTCAATTTCTCCTTGTAATTGATTTGTTAGTCTCTTCAATGCAATACTGAGGAAGCACTGAACTTCCTGCAATATTATCAGAAGTTGAATCTACATCTTTGAGTAGCCCTGCACAGCTCAGACCTGGATGGGACAATTAAGTTTACACACAAATCCTACCAGATCTTCCAACACAAATGTCAACAGGGGAGTTATTGTCTGTGATTATGTGTAAGTGAAAATGTGCTATTCCTCAAGAACCTTTTATGTATTAAAATCTGTTCTTTGGTTTGAGGCTAGATTTCTTTTTCTGCACAGCCTGATGTTTGTGTAATTCTCGCATTTATTTAATAAAAACAAAACACCTGCTTCATGAAAGATTCTTTACAAATTGCACAAGGTCTCAGATCTGAGCCTCATATTCTTTTTCTCATTCTATTTCATTTTAAAGAAACTGACACTTTTAATTGTGTAAACAGGATGTAAATATGTGGCCAATTCCTAAAACAAAAGTGCCAAATTTCTGTAGTTGGTAGACAAATGAAAGACAGAAAGAGTTTATATGTAGTACTTTATCTGTCAAATTTTAGTGAGATGTGACATATTACTTTGAAAGCATATTACTATAGAGTAGGAGCCCTGGTGTGGCACTGTGGGTTAATGCGCTGGACTGCAATGTCAGTTTGAACCACAAGGTGGGTGGTTCAAGCTCACCAGCTGCTCCTGGGAAACCCTACACAGGGTTGCTATGGGTTGCTATGGGTTGGAACCTACTAGATGGCATTTAACAACAATAACTATAGAGTAAAGATTACCCTTGTAGTAAAATAACCAAAAGGATGGTGAGGTTTTTAAGAGCTTTCCTTAAGTTTTTCAACAAAGAAATGCTTTGTCAGACTGAAATAACTAACTCAACTATGAGAGAGAACACTGGTCTTACAATTGAGAGTTGCACTGTTCACTTACAGCTTGGAGCTGATGGTTTGGAATGCTTTGTTGTTGTGAAGTGCTTTCTAGTCACTACTGAATGTCAATTTCATCATCTGTTCTGGGGTAGAAGTGAGTGGCCCATAGTCAACCTATCGTACTAAAGAAGTGCCCACTCTCAGTAACGTAAATTATTCTGAGACTTTCTTGGGAGTAGCAGAAGCTTGAGTTAAGATCCCCTCCTCTTGAACTACTTATACTGTAATAGAGGAGAAGAGAATAAACACAGAACATGGAGAGCAGCTAATTTCTATATTATGGACTATCAATGTCACAGGAGAACAACGGAGGGGAAAAGAGGTCCCAGGGTTTTCATTGAAGAGGTGGATGAACTTGAGCTGGAACTCAAGGAATGATGAGCAGAACTTGGACAGATGAAAAAGCCAGAAATGGAAGCAGAAATTCCAGGTATGGAAATATATAAAGCATTTTAGCTACTCCACTGCACAGGAGTGACTGGTTTGTCAGGAATTGAGGCAAGATATTAAAAATATACATGAAATACATTGGTCAGAAGTGTCATCTCAAATTATAGAAGGCTTTGAAAGCCCAGTAGAGAGTTGAGAGGTGGCGGTATGCCATAGAGTCAGTTACGACTCATAGCAACCCTAAATAGGGGTTTTGAGGATATAAATCTTTGTAGCAGAAGGCCTCATTTTTCTCTGGTGGAACGGCTCACAGGTTCAAACTACTGACCTTTTGCTTAGCAGTCCAACATACAACCACTATGCTAACAGGGCTTCTTGAGACTAATCAGAGGGGTTTAAAAACAAGAATAAATAAAACAGAAGAACACTCACTTATTAAAGAAGGGGGTGAGCTGATAGAAATGAAAGAGGAGGATCACTCTGTAATAAACCTTGATTTTCATAATAGTAATTCCTCTAACTTTGAGGCTGACCTAACCTTGATGGTGACCTAACCATATATCCTAAAGGGGACAGTCCTTTTCTCTGAGATGGTAGGTGCAGGATATCACAGTCTATTCTCTGAGGGTCTTTCCTCTGTGGTCAAGCAGATGCAAAATGTGATAGCTTGGATTCTGGGATTGTTTACTCCAACGTACAGACTGAGTACGTATGGTGAAAGAACACAACCCTGGCACATACCTTTACTGATTATAAAACACATCGTATCCGTTATGTTACAAGGACTGCCTCTTGATCTATGTACAGGTTCTACCTGAGCACTATCAGGTGTTCTGGAATTCCAGTTCTTCACAATGTAAATCATAACTTGTTATGAATCACACAGTCAAATATGCCCTTGCATAATCAATGAAACATTTTTCTGGCATTTTCTGCTTTCAGCAAAGATCCACCGGCTATCAGTAATGATAATTAAATCAATGATGATTACAGCAAAGATGATTTGTTGTTGTTAAGTGTCATTGAGTTGTTACAACTCATAGCAACTCTGTATACGGTTTTTGAGGAGCAGCTGGTGGATTTGAACTGCTGACCTTACGGTTTTTAGTCTAGTGCTGATCCTACAGTGCTACTCCAGGAGTCTGCATAGATGATTACATTACATAACTGCCAAACCACTGAGAATCATGGGTAGCCCATTTCAATCCATGACAGATGGTCAGAGATTGATTTTTAGTTTATCTGGAAGAAACAATTTCTGAAGGGAGCAAGTTTTTACAGAGCAAGTGAGAACTTACACTAGCAGATTTCAACAACCAATCACAGAGCCATAATTAAGATAGATTCCCTGGTTACGTAGGGATTTTGCTTATGTAAAAGAGGTTATTTCAAACTCACAGAAAATATGAAATAAAGAAAAATCAAAAAAGGTATCACTTAAGCCAAGGCCATCTTTCTTGGAAAAGATAAAATTAAGTTATATACTTTATACTATTTCACAACATAAATTCTAACAAGAAGAAAGTACTTAGGGTCTGCTGCAGAAGTCTTGAAGGTGTGACTGAGTAAAGTGTCCCTGGGGACTTACTCCAGAAGTATACACCTCTCTCATGGCTAAGACCCTTGAAGTAGTCACTCCTGTGATACCTTTATTGAATTATGAAAAACCTTACCACCTAGAAGAGATTCATGCACTGAATGGTGGCATCTGTGCTTACTACAGGTATGAGGCATAGAACTCAAAGTGTATTTACCTCTTGGTAAGAAACCTAAATGAAACCAATTTCCATCACCTCGTTTCTGACTCATGGAAGCGCCAAGTATGTCAGAGGAGAATTGTGTTCCATAGTGATTTTTCATTGACTGACTTTTCAGTAGATAGCTAGGTCTTTTCCTTAGGTATCTATGTTGTTGTTGTTAAGGACCGTGGAGTCGGTTCCGACTCATAGTAATCCTGTACAGGGTTTCCAAGGCTGTAAATCTTTACGGGAGCAGAAAGCCTCATCTTTCTCCCGTGGAACAGTTGGTAGTTTTGAACTGCCGACCCTGAGGTTCGCAGCCCGATTTGTAACCACTACGCTACGTGTATTTAAATTGTGAACCTTTCAGATAGTAGCTGAACACTTAACCATTTATGTCATTCAGGGATTCCCAGTGGTAAGAAGCTCTAGAATATTTCTGTACAGGCGCTGTAAGGGTTGTGATGGCATTTGCATAAACATTTTAGCATCTAACCATCCTGAGGAACATTTCTAAACTATTATCTTACTGAATTACTAAAAGACCACCATGAGTTTAAAAAGCTTGCTACAGTTGCCATCTAGTCCAGGTTTGGGTCATCAATTGATTGCCCTCAGTCTCTGACCAAGAGAAGGACATGCTTTACAATTTGAAATCTGAAGACTTTTTGCCTGTGGAGAACTCCAGTCAGAAGACTAAGTTTAATTCCATCTTGTGCCTAGGTTTAAGTGCTCATATGCCATTTTTTCTTGAGTATCTCATGAACCTATCTGTGAAGGCCAAACTGCTGGAGTTAGAAGCAGAGGGTATTTAAAAGTGGGTTTGGAGTTATTTTCCTCAGCTGACCCAACCAAGAAT